TACGAATTTTATGAAACTTATGATTACTTACTTATAAGTGAATGTAAATATATTATAGTTAAAATATTTATTTTAGTCTTTTAATTATATCTTTGGATTCAGAGTTAGTTTTTTAATTTTTTTCGTGTTATTTAAGTTCTTTAACTTCCAAAATGTTTTATTTTAGTCTTTTTTATCCAATTAACGAAGAATGAAATTAGTCGCTAAATCCGTTGTTAATTAGACAAAAAGAATTAAAATGAAACATTTTAGAAATTAAGGGACGAAAGTGACACGAAAAAAAACAATTAAAAGACTAATATAAATTCAAAAGTATATTTAAGGGATCAAAATGAATATTTTGTCTATATTATATGATATTACTAGTAATATATATGATTAAATTTTGTGTTTGGTAAAATGTTTTTCACAATTTTTTTTTCAAAATTCAAATTAATGTAGAAGAATTTTTTTCAATTATGGTGTATAGTAATTTATCTTAAAGTATTGTTTAATTTGTACATTTTAATATAAAAAAATTTAATATATATATATATATATATATATATATATATATATATATATATATATATATATATATATATATACATCATTATAAACTACTTTTTATAAATAATATGCAATTACTTTTTATTCTGTTGACAACTATAATATCATCACAAATGTATATCTAATTGGTTGAAAGCTGATAATTGCGCAGGATAGATGATTGACAGTGCTCAAGATAAGAAGTGAGAAAAATATAGTAATTTTTGTCCAATTGAAAGTGAGCATGTGGGGTCGAAGTTTGTCGTGTGTGTAGAATGTAGAAATAGACTTGAAGGCATTATAAAAAAGAGAGAAAGAATTTAAGAAGTACTACTAATCTATAAAATATAAATAAAAATGACAGAAAGTTAGAAACGACTCATGTCTTGAGTTGAGTGAATGTGGTTGACGGCAAATTCATGGCATTTTTGTTAAATATGAATATGACGTGTGAAGAGTAAAGATGATGATATATAATATTATCTTCAAAAACTTTAATTAAATATTAAGATATGGAGTACTAGTATATGGTTTCACTTAAAAAAAAAGTCTTTGAATCCTTTCTTTCTCTCCATAATTCTCTTTCACACAAATCTGGTAGAATAATTTAGATTTTATAATTAATCGGATATTAATTTATATTTAAAAATATCTTTTAGATTGTTTATATCTTTGTTAGAAAATATATATCTTAGATTTTCTTATATCTTTGTTAGAAGATATATTTTAGATTTAATTTTGTGTATAAATAGTCTAGTGGAGTAGGTTATTGTAATTCATTGTAAATCCTTATTTTAAAGCTGTCAGTAAATATTCTTTTTGCCTTTTATCTTTCCTGTGCATCAACAATTGGTATCTAGAGCTCCGGTTCGAAATCCACGGGGAAAAGAAGTATTGTGATTAAGAATTACAATATTCTGATTATAGGTTTTGAGAAACATTGATTTGAGAAACTTTGCGTAAATTGCTCAAAGATAGAAGATGAACGGGAATAGCGGCGATATTCATTCCAAGTTTCCAGTATTTGATGGCAAAAACTAGAATCGTTGGAAGATCCAAATGCGCGTGTTATTTGGTTCTCAAGATGTGTTAGATCTTGTCACTGATGGCTATGATCTGTTAGCAACAGACGCAACAGAGGCCCAGAAGATAACACAGAAGACGCTAAGAAAGAAAGATCAGAAGGCATTGTTCTACATCCATCAATGTGTGGATGTGAATGTGTTTGAGAAGATTGCTGATTCTGAAACAGCAAAGGCTGCATGGGACACACTGGTCAGATACTACAGTGGTGACGCATCAGTGAAGAAGGTGAAGCTTCAGTATCTCAAAAAGCAATATGAGAATCTCAACATGAAGGACAACGAGAAGGTTTCTGAATACATCTCTAGAGTGATTTTGATCACTAATGAGATGAAAGTTTGTGGAGAAAACTCTGTCTGAACAAGTAATTATCGAGAAGATCTTGAGATCTTTAACTTCTCAGTTTGATTATATTGTGGTAGCAATTAAACATCCCAAAGATCTGAGCACCATGAGAGTTAAAGAGATGCAAAGTAGTCTAGAGGCGCATGAGTTGCGTATGACTGCGAGAACTTCTGAGAGGGAAGTAGAGCAGCAGACTCTGAAAGTAACTTTTGGTAAGAAGCATTAGAAGCAGACTTGGTCAGAAGCCAGGAAGAGAACTAATGGTGGTCAAAAGTTAGAAACTTCAAACTCTGATAGGCAGAAGAATGTCCAGAGGGGAAAGGAGAAGTCTGACAAGAAGGATGTTCAATGTTACTATTGTAGGAACTTTGGTCACCATGCCAAAGATTGCTGGTCAAACAAAGAAAGGAAGTCAGAAGAAGAAAATGTAGCTAGAGGAGATTCATATGATGAACTTGTGCTATTTATGGCTTATGAATCTGATGAGGAACCAGTGAAATTATCATTTTCTGATTCTGAAGGGGAAAAAGAATATAACTCTGAATATTCTGATTCTAAAGGAGTGATTTTGTATGAGTTAGAATCAGAATATAACTGAGTTAGAATCAGATGATGACTTTGAAGATTTTGAAGATGAGTCAGAATCTGAGGTTTCTGAAGACGAGTTAGAGTCAAAAGATCACTCTGAAGCTGAAGACAAGTCAGAATCCGAAGGTGATTCTGAGTCTGAAGAAGATTCTGCTTTTGAAGAAGAGTCAGAAGATGATGACTCTGGAAACTCTGAAGGTGAGTTAAATGGTGAATCTGATTCTGATCCAGATTTTGATGATGATCTAGAATTTGGTGGTGATCATGCTTCTAGAAGGGAAAACTCTAAAGACGTAGGTTCTGGAGGACAAGCTTCTAAAGATGATCATGTTTCTGGTAGAAATCATGATTCTTAAAGTGAAACTTCTGAAGGAGGAGCTTCTGAAGGAAATTCAGCCTTTGACGATGATCATGATTCTGAAAGTGAAACTTCTGAAGGCAGAGGTGATCCAACTTCTGAAGATGGTATTTCTGAAGGTAGTGGCTCTGACTCTGATGATGATTCAGACTCTGGGAATTTTCAAGACTCTGAAGACAGTCAAGGTTCTGGAGAAAGTCAAAACTCCAAAGCAAGATTAGTAGCAATCAGACTAGTGATTGCAATAGCTGCTAACAGGAATTGGCCTCTGATGCATTTAGATGTAAAATCTGCATTTCTAAATTGTCCATTACAAGAAGAGGCGTAACTTTCGCAACCTCCTGGATTTGAGAAAAAGAATCAGGAAGGGATGGTGTTCAAATTACACAAAGCATTGTATGGATTAAAGCAAGCGCCCGGAGCTTGGAATTTGAAGATTGATTCATTTTTCAAGGAACAAGGGTTTCAGAAGTGTGAGATGGAGTATGGTGTTTATGTTCAACATACTTCAGAAGGTAATATGATTTTTGTCTGTTTGTATGTTGATGACATATTACTTATAGGAAGGTCTGAACAAGAGATAATTGAGTTCAAGAAAGTTCTGATGAGTGCATTTGAGATGACATATCTTAGAAAAACGAGTTTCTTTCTAGGGATGGAATTTATATACTCTGAGAAAGAAATCATTTTGCATCAAATGAAGTATGAACTAGAACTTTTGAAGAGATTTGAGCTAGAAAATTGCAAAGTTGCTATCACACCTGTTGATACAAATCAGAAGTTGGACTCTGATTCTGATGGAGAGGATGTGGATGCTACAACCTTCAAACAAATAGTTGGTTCTCTAAGGTATTTGTGTAATACCAGACCTGATATTTACTATGCAGTTGGAATAGTTAGCAGATTTATGAGCAAACCAAAGTGGTCTCATTACCAAGCTGCAGTCAGGATTCTGAGGTATGTGAAGGGAACTTTAAAATATGGAGTGTTATTTATGTCTGGAAGACAAATCGAATCAGAACTTCTGAGTTATTATTATTTTGATTGGTGCGGAGATAGAGTTGACAGAAGAAGTATTTCTGGGTACTTATTTAAATTTCTGGGAGGTCCTATTTCTTGGTGTTCCAAGAAACAACTTGTGAAGCTGAATATATACAGGCGCTCTGACTGCACGTCAAGCTGTGTGGATTCTAAACTTGCTGAAAGATCTGAAGATTGAGGTAAATAAACCTCTGAAGCTGATGGTTGATAACAAGTCTGCAATCAATCTTGCCAAGAATCCAGTGTTGCATGGGAGAAGCAAGCATATTTAGACCAAATATCATTTTCTGAGGAATCAAGTTCAGAATGGAATTTTAGAAGTTGTGCATTGTAGCACCCAGAAGCAGCTGACAAATGTTCTGACAAAGGCTATCAATATTGATCAATTTCTTGGTTTAAGGGATGAAATTGGTGTTGTCAGTTTTGGGTAAATATAAATTAAGGGATGATGTTAGAATTAATTTAGATTTTATAATTAATCAGATATTAACTTATATTTAGAAATATCTTTTAGATTGTTTATATCTTTGTTAGAAAATATATATCTTATATTTTCTTATATCTTTGTTAGAAGATATATTTTAGATTTAATTTTGTGTATAAATAGTCTAGTGGAGTAGGTTATTGTAATTCTTTGTAAATCCTTATTTTAAAACTGTCAGTAAATATTCCTTTTTCCTTTTATCTTTCTTGTGCACCAACAAAAACAATTATAAAATGAGAGATAAAATTAATAAAAAATTATAAAAGAAATAGATATAAATTAAGTGAAAGTGAAAAAAAAAAGAAAAGAGAGGATATGAGCCCGAAAAAATCATGTTTCTTTCTTTTTTTCTACTTTTTGAATTACAAATTTTTTAAATGACAATTTAGCTAATTTCTCATTACACATTTGTTATATAGAATGCACTTTTCAAAATTCAAAAAATATTTCTAGATAAATTTATAAATGCATATCTGAACACATTCTTCATAAAATAAGCAGTAAATTGGTTCAAAAGGGGTGGGAGAAGTGAAGAGTGGAGTAAAGGATTACTTCGAAGATAAGTCTAGGAAGATGCAAAACCCGAGACCTAGGTTGGGGGGAATTGATTTTAAAAAATTATCTGAGGAGGAGAAGGATAGTTTGGAAGAGAATTTTTCTAGGGAGAATTTTAGGGAGGTTGTTTTTAGTTGTGAGGGTGATAGGAGCCTAGGGCCCAATGGCTTTAACCTAGACTTTCTGAAAAGGTGTTGGAATGTCATTGGTGAGGAGGTCATTTATTGTGTTCAACAATTTTATCACAAAGCTATTCTTCCGAGAGCAATGACAATTGCATTCTTAGCTCTTATACCCAAGGTTGATAATCCATAAAAGTTGGAGGAATATATGCTTATTTGTCTTATCGACTGCATTTACAAAGTTATATCAAAGCTACTGGCAGCAAGGTTGAGTAGAGTGATTGGTATCTTGATCTCCAAGTCTCAAACAACGTTCATTCCATGAAGACATATCTTAGATGGTGTTGTGGTTACAAACGAGATTATGGATTTTGCACAGAGAAAGAAGAAGGAATGTGTATTACTCAAGGTAGATTTTTCTCAAGCTTATGATTGCATGGATCGGCCTTTCTTAAAATAAATGCTAATAAATATGGGGTTTGGATCAAGATGGTTGAAGTGGATTGAGGGTGGGGTTTTTAAAAGCATTATGTCAGTCCTGATCAATGGAAGCCCTACTGAAGAATTTAATGTCCAGAAAGGATCAAGACAAGGGGATCCTTTGACTCTTCATCTATTTATAATAGTTGCTGAAGGCTTGGTATGCTTGGTTATACAATCTATATTTAGGGGTGAATTATCAAGATTTAGGGTTAATGATGAAGTGTCATATGATCTACTCTAATTTGCAAATGATACTATCCTAATTGGAGAAGGCACTTGGAGTAATTTGTGGGTTATAAAGGTGATTCTAAGAGGATTCGAAATGGTTTCAGGCTTGAGAGTAAACATGTGGAAAATCAAACTGCTTGGGATTGATCTTAAGGATTCATTCTTGCAAGCTGCTGGTGCATTTCTGTCGTGTAAACTGGATTCCTTACCTTTTAAGTTTCTAGGTTTAACAATTGGTGATAATCCTAGAAAGACCAGTTTCTAGAATTCGATAATTGCAAACATGAAAGAAAACTTATCCCCATGGTTAGGAATTTCTATTGGTGGTAGAGTTGAATTATTGAATTCCGTGATTACTAATTTACCCGTGTACCATATGTCTTTTTACTAAATTCCTAGGAAAGTGGAACATGTGTTGATAAGAATTCAGAGGAACTTCTTGTGGCATAACTCATAAGAGAGGAAATGCATAGACTGGATCAGTTGGAAAACTATTTGTAAATATAAAGATGATGGGGGTTTAGGGATAAAAGATGTGGCTTTATTTAATAAGGAATTACTCACTAAATGGTTGTGGCAATTTCTTAAAGAGGAGAATTCAATTTGGAGAGGTGTACTTGAAGTGAAATATGGCAAGCTTATTGACAATTTTTTTTTAAAGAAGAGGATTGGAAATAAAAGCTACGAGTCTATATGGTGGATTGACTTGATGTTGATTGGAGATTCTAGGGAAGAAGGTGGATTCACACATGTGATTTCTATTAGAATTGATGATGGGTTTAATGTCCCATTCTGGAACATGAGGTGGATTGGTCGTAGAGCATTCATGTTTTTATTCCCAATTTTGTATCAAATTGTGGAAAACTGGTGTAGCAGTGTAAGTGACATGGGAAAGTGAGAGGGTGAGTGTTGTAACACCCTCTAAAACCCCAAGTAATTTTCGCAAATAATTAAAATTATAATTTCAGAGTACATGTATAATTCGAGGATGCTACAATTCTCTTTTAATAAAACAACAAATTCCTGTCATGCATAATCTTAGTAGTAACTCATACATGTTTACACAGCGGAATAATTTATTTAATAAAACCAAAGTTATAATATTTTCAATCATCAGGGATTAACACCTGGAATATATCAACATCATATTATAACCAAATACTAAGGAAATAAACGAGTCTGACTAAAGCAGCTCGACAAACAAACGTTCCCGGAGTTACAACTATCAGAGCATGACCCGGACAATACTAAAACGAAAAATAAACTAGAACGACAAGCCTTCGCCAAGCACTTGAACGAAGCTCCTCAATCTGAAATATTCAACAGTAAGGGTGAGCATCTCAATTATACATTTGATTATACGTTCATAACAATCAATTCAGGAAATCATAAACATCACCCAATAATTAGCATATTTCGTAGTTTACAAAAACCTTCATAATTCATATACCCATAATATATTGCTTTTCATATTTGCAATTAACGTCAAACATCGTCAACCATTTAGCAACCATACGTGCATACAACAATCAAATACAACATTGGAAAAATCATCCATTCATGTTATATTCAAGGTAATGCAACACACCCATGCATGTGGTACCACTTTACCGCCCCATTAAATCTCGGGTCACGGATATCTCACCGTTCCATTATATCGCGGACACGGCTACCACCTCAACGTTCCATTAAATCGCGGACACGTATATTGGCCACCATGTTAATTCCACACAATGGGAATTAACAAATGCAACATGATATGTAAGTATGTAACACTCAGCATACTATGAACATCAATCAACATATCATGCACATCACAACATCAAATCATAACAAGATATGGATAGCATGTAATCACTCAACATACTATTTAAACATCAATCATATCAAGTCATATTATAAATTCACGCTCGATAACATTATCCAAAAGCATGGCAATAAAATCCAAAATCAAGCACTGAAAACAAAGTTCAGAAAAATCGACACAGTAACCTCAACACGGGTGCCCGTGTCGTGCAACACGGCCCGTGTTGGGCAATACGTCCAGAAAACACAATTTTTCCTCATCAATACAGGGACTCAACACGGGTGCCCGTGTTGTGCAACACGGCCCGTGTTGGGCAACACATTCCAGGAAAAAAACATTTTATCCTTATCAGTACAGGGGGAGCAACACGGGTGCCCGTGTTGTGCAACACGGCCCGTGTTGTACAACCAGAAAAGCAACCAGAAGAGCAACACGGGTGCCCGTGTTGTGCAACACGGCCCGTGTTGCTGAGCGCGTACAGGATTTTTCCTGAACCTGCAGCAGCTCAGAACAACAGCCAAACGCGGGAAAATGTCGGCTAAACGCGCATTTCGGTACATAACGACATCGATACTTCACAACTCAAAACAACACATTCATTTCATAATTACCAACAATTATTGTAGTAACCTTAACAGTGATTACTCGTCCCTTTTTGGGGAATTTCTGACAACATTAAGGTTATCCCTACAACTTCCAAGGTAAATTCACGATCATGCAGATATACTCCCAATTCACCATTTGGAACCTAAAATTTCTAATCAATTCATAACAATTGGGAACCTAACCATTTTCTAACGAGGTTCAATCCTAATGGTATCGATTCCTATTAACGTCTAACAATTGGGGTTTTTCCCTACGATTACCCAATCAACCGTACATAAACCCATAAACAAAGGTAAACCGAGTAATAGCCCCCCTTACCTTATCAATTAGCAGCTTTGAATTCTTGAGCGATGTTCCTCGTTCTTCGTTCTTCGTACCTTCAGAGCTCTATTTCCCCAAATTCCCAACTTCTGTTTATCGTGAAATGAGAAAAATAACTTGAGTTCCAAAACATAACTTTATTTCTCCTACACCCCCACTCTTACTAACAACATCTAAGCCCAATAACTTAAAAACTCAGCATTTTCTTATTTCTTTTATTTTCCTCCATATTTCGAAATAAATAATTCCTTTTTATTTTATTAATTCTAATAAAATAATTTCCCAATTTAATTAAATCAAATAATTGAAACTGGGGTGTTACAACTCTCCCCCACTAAAAGAGTTTTCGTCCTCGAAAACATACCTTAGACGAACAGTTCCGGATAAGCCTTTTTCATCTGGCTCTCCAGCTCCCAAGTGATATTTCCATCTGCTGGACCTCCCCAAGCAACCTTCACTAATGCTATCTCTTTACCTCTTAACTGTTTCACTTCCCGATCTTCTATCCTCATAGGCAATGTTTCTACTGTCAGGTTATCTCTCACCTGTACATCATCTATTTGGATTACATGAGATGGGTCTGGAATGTATCTCCTCAGCTGAGAAACATGAAAAACATCGTGCAAATTCGCAAGTCTCGGAGGTAAAGCAATACGATAAGCAACTTCTCCAACTCTTTCCGTAATCTGAAACGGACCAATAAAACGCGGAGTCAACTTCTTAGATTTCAACGCTCGACCAATACCCGTCATCGGAGTAACTCTCATAAACACATGATCTCCAGCACTAAATTCTAAATTCTTTCTCCTCTTATCATGATAACTTTTCTGACGACTCTGAGAAGCTCTCATCTTCTCTTGAATCAATTTGATCTTTTCAGTAGTCTGCTGAACAATCTCTGGCCCAACTACCGAACTCTCTCCAGATTCATACCAACACAAAGGCGTTCTACACCGTCTACCATACAATGCCTCAAACGGAGCCATACCAATACTCGAATGGTAACTATTGTTATAAGTAAATTCAATCAATGGCAAATAGCTATCCCAAGCTCCACCCTGCTCTAAAACACAAGCACGCAATAAATCTTCTAACGATTGAATCGTCCTCTCCGTCTGTCCATCAGTCTGAGGATGGTAAGCTGAACTCAACCTCAATTTAGTATCCAAAGCCTTCTGCAATCCTTCCCAAAATTTCGAAGTGAACCTCGGATCTCTATCTGACACAATACTAGAAGGAACTCCATGCAAACTCACTATTTTCTCAATATATAACTGTGCCAATCTCTCCATTGAGTAATCCATTCGCACCGGTATAAAATGAGCAGACTTAGTCAATCTATCCACAACGACCCATATCGCTTCACAATTCATAGGAGTCCTCGGCAACCCAGATACAAAATCCATAGAAATACTATCCCACTTCCATTCTGGAATAAACATTGGTTGCATAAATCCAGACGGCTTCTGATGCTCAATCTTCGATTTCTGACAGATTAAACATGCATACACAAATTCAGCTATTTCCTTTTTCATTCCCGGCCACCAAAACAATTTCTTCAAATCATGATACATTTTCGTGGCACCCGGATGAATACTCATCCCACTGCGATGTCCTTCCTCTAATATACTCTTCTTGATTTCTGCAACATCAGGAACACAAACTCTATCGCCAAATCTCATAACATCATTTTCATCAATTCTAAACTCACCACCTTGACCTTGGTTGATCAATGTCAATTTATCAAC